CCTCCTCCATCAAGGCCACACCTCCTCCATCAAGGCCACACCTCCTCTATCAAGGCCACGCCTCCAACAAGGGCATACCTCCTATGGCAAGGCCACTCGGGGTTTCTTTAATTTTTTAAATTTATTACAATTTATTCACTTGTATCCCAGCTGTAGCCCCCTCTCTCATCCCCTACCAATCCTGCCCTTCCTCCCTTTTCTCCTCCCAGGCCCCTTTCCCAGTCCACTGATAGGGGAGGTCCTCCTCCCCTTCCATCTGACTCTAGCCTATCAGGTCTCATCAGGACTGGCTGCATTGTCTTCCTCTGTGACCTGGTAAGGCTGCTCCCCCTCAGGTGGAGGCGATTAAAGAGCCAGCCACTGAGTTCAAGTCAGAGAGAGTCCCTGTTCCCCTTACTAGGGCCCATTTGGAGACTGAGCTAGACAAGGCCACACTTAATAACCATTCATTAGCTGAGAACTAAGCATGCATATGAGTCTAAGAGGGCCATTTTCACTCAAACTACCACATACGCATTCTTGTAGCAATAATAATTAAAGAAAACATGAAAATAAACGGAGGGCTTGGAGGTAGAGAAAGAAGGCAGGATATATGGTAAGAGGAAACAGAAGATGATCAAAGTGTAACACACATATTACATATTTCATATACATGTGAAATGTCATAGTGAAACCCATTACTTTGTAAAAAAATTAAATGCTAATAGTGATGTAAAAATTATGTGGGTCTTTTCCTGAGCCTGTAACTGAGTACTTACATAGCCTAAGCGATGACTTGGATTTGATCCCTAGTATGAAAAAACAAAATTTTAAGGGGTATTTTTTTTCAGATGTGATTACACTACAATATAGGCTCTGCCATCGTGAATGGGGTCAAAGCTCTTCTGAGGGAGCTTCACACTGCACCCAGCTCTTTCCATCCTCTGCCGTATGACGACATTACGCCCCAACACCCTCCAGAGCAAAGGACAGCAAGGCACCATCCTGCAGGCAGAAAGCAGACGAGCAAACATGGCTGACCTTGTACCTCCCGGCACCCGACACTGTGGAAAACAAATTTCTATCCATAAATCCTGGAAGTTGGTTATGGGAGTACGCCATCCCTTCAGAACCGTGTTCAGGTCCTTACGACCCCCAGAACCTTGAAGTGTATCTTTACTTGGAAATAGGATCCTTTCAGATGAGACAAGGACAAGGCCACGTGTGGGCCCCAACTCCAATACAGTTAACTTCTTTATATGAGATGAGAAAGACAGACACACGGCCAACCATGTGGCCTTGGGACCTGGAATGGTACCCAGCAGCCTTAGATGCTAGGTCAAGAGAAAAAGACGTCTCCCAGAGGCTTCTGGGAGAGTGCAGCCCCCCTGCCACTTACAGCCTCCACAAGCATGACCGAGCAGGGATTTTTTGCTTCACACATCAGTTTGTACATGAAACCTCACAAGCAGTTTGCTTGAGAACAACAATCACACGTGTTCTGAACCCACAGGCAAATCACTAAGTTGGCAGGCAGCTAGATCGCATCTGAGCACAGCTGTGAGGAAACAACACCGTGCAATCTCCACTCTGAAACGTCAAAGTCCTCTAAGTGTTTAGAATTCTAACCTAACAGTCCAAAAGCTGAAGATTTGGATATACCATTCTGCGGCCAGTCACTTTTCATGGATGAAAAAACAACCTGACCTACAGTTTCAGAGCGTGCTGTGCAAAGAGGGCACTGTGCAAGGTTAGCTGGAGCCACTGCTTCAGGCCCAGCATGAGCACAAACATCCTGGGGTCAGGAAGAGGCAATGGAGGAGCTGCTGGCCCCAGGGCATCGGACGTGAGAAGATGCAGATGCAGCCTCTCCTAAAAGCTCTCCGAGGCACCCCACCTCCTCCAGCTGGGCTCACGCCAAAAAATGCCCACCACCTCCCATGTGACGTCAAAGCATGAGTCCACCAATGGACTAATCCATTAAACAGTCAAGCCCCCCGGATCCTGTCACTTTCCTATGATGGCTTCCACCAGCTGGGAGCCAAGACTTAAACATGTGTCTTTTGAGATGGAACAGTTTGGACTCCAACTATAACACCTTTTTTTTTTTTTTTAATCCTTGCTAAAAACTGAATTTTTTTTTTCTTTTTATGTTTCCCACTCAAATACCCCAGGAGCGTAAGACATAACCTCTTGTCTTTGTTCCCATAGGCCAGCCATACAAGAGCCTGTATAAGATTAGGATGGCATTTTCAGCCTGTACAAGGCAGTCCAGCAAGGAGGCGGGTGGACAGACTCCAAGGCTCACTGCAGCAGCCCTCGCTGGCTCAGAAACTCTCATGGTCGACCCGATGTCACCTCTTCCCCATGCTACCACAATTTACCTCACTCCAAGTTTCTCCTCTTGAAGGAATCCAATTTCAGAGGCCCAGTGAGCACTATTCATTTCCGTGGCTATGACTTTTGAGCTGGTCACCGTGTCTGCTGACCAGTGACTTTCATGCTGGTCCACTCCCTCCTCCAGTATTCCCCAACACAACTTAACACCTCCTTCAAACACCTCTCCCAACAAACACCACACTGAACACCGAGTTGTGACCCTCTGGCTCCTACACCCCTCCTGCCCTTTCCTCCCCATGAGAACCCAGGTATACTGTTGTCACAGAAGCTCTCTACATCCTGTAACCGCCATTTCTACCGTAGTGCTGACCCGGCATCCACTGTGCAGCCAGAGGTAGTGAGCTGTTGCCAGCGGCCTTACACTGAGAGCTGAGAGCTGTAAAAGCTGACCAGAGAGCCGTGCATCAGTAAAGGCTGAATTCAAGGGCAGTGGGGAGGGATCCCCAGGCCAAATTCATGGAGCACATTCCCAACAGTGGTGATGGATCTGGGAACAAAGTGTGGCCAGGAGAGCCACAAACCCAGTATTCAAATGTCCTCCCACACAGGAAGCCATCTTACAAGGCTGGATGCTTAACTATCCTTCGCCCTCAAAGGGACTCAGCAGTAGTGAGAACAACAGGGTTTAAGTGGCCAGAGCTCTCAGCAGGGTCCCAGCTCTGTCACACAGAAGCACAGCTGGCACTGTCACCCTCTGCACAGCACAGACTGTGGGTGCCAATCCCCGGTGACCGCTTCATGTGCAAAGGATTAGGAGACAACCTATGGAAGCCACCGGGAGCTCTCAAGGCCAGGGGAAGCAATGGCAGCGACAGCAGGATTACAGCAGAGTGGCACAGTGCGAGACCACGGTGGAAAAATCACAGACATAGAATGACGCTAGGGTCAGGATGTACAAGAAAGGAAGGAAACCTAAGGAAACAGCACGGACCACACCTCAAGAGTGCTGTTTGACCTGAACTAGGCCTATATGACTGATCTATTCTGCTGGTAATAATTACATATAACCTTTGACGGCTTCCTGTATTATTCATTTTAGTCATTTTACCCCCTTCCCCACTCCCTCAGCCCCTCCTGCTACTTTCACATCTTCTTTTTGTGTGACCCACAATGTGGGTGAGGTCATTGCCTGGAGTAAGGGCCACATTTCACTGCTGAGGAAAACGGCACACCTTCCACAAGCAAGTGTTAACTGTGAGCATTCTTCAGGGAGGGCTGGGCTACAGGGGTCACCCCCTTCCCCCCACCGTGGTGAACTGACCGGCTCAGTCTTTCCCAGGTCTTATACATATATACACAGCTGCAATTAGTTTGAGTGGAACAGCTGCGTTGTCCAGAAGACAATTTTTCCTTACACATCTCCCCACCCTCTGGGCCTTACAGGCTTTCCACCCCTCTCCTCTCAATGTCAGCTTTGGGGAGTGATACTGCTGCACAATTTAGGCCAAGAACACCAAGTGATACTTTGAGGGGAAAAAAAAATTTTTTTCAGAAACTTCAAGGTTAAAAAAAAAAAAAAAAACACTCCAGGCTTTTACAGCAAGCCCTTCCCCCTGCCCTTTGAACCCTCCCCAAGGTCACTAAGTTCAATGGAAATCTGGTACTAGACAACCAACACCACTGAGAACCAGAAACAAAACAGAGTTTATACCCAGGCCTCTCTCAGCACCACGTACTCATCTTAGACACATTCACGAACACTCAGCACCTGTTAGGTTCCAGAACAGTGTCAGGGTTATACCAACAATCTGCCGCTAGCAGTCAGGGTCACAGGAGTGGCTACACAGAAAAGGCAACGGTGAGTGTGGAAGGAATCAACAGAGGGGCAGAGGGAAATGCCTGCTGGAAAGGGGCTCTTAGAAGAAGAAGAAGAAAAAGCAGACTGGAGGGGAAAGGCAAAGTCAGGCAGGAGCAAGCAAACAGCTGAGAAGGAAAGAACCATTTTTAAACAAGAGTTTGTCTGGTTCAGGCCCCTGCCCCTCTGGGGGAGAGTCCTCTCTGCCTAGCTGTCCAAGGAGTGTACAGCAGCTCTCAATCTGTGTCGAGACCCCTGCATATTGAATATTTACATTACGATTCATAACAATAGCAAAAATTACAGTTAGGAAGTAGCAACAAAATAATTTTATGGTTGGGGGGTCACCACAACATGAGGAGCTGTATTAAAGGGTCGTGGAGTTAGGAAGGTGAGAACCGATGCACTAAAGGTGAGATTTGTTCGATTCTCCTGCTGGGCACAATTCCTTTGCTCCTGCATTCATCTATCAGGAGCCCTGTTGCGCCCACAGATGATCAGGAACTCTTCCAGACTTTCAGCACACTATACTAAGATCAGGACATACACATTTTGGATTGACCAACAGCTTGTTGTTCACAGGATGACTCACTGACACTAAATAAAAGACCCCGCCGACATTACAGTTGTACTTCACACAAACCTTGATCCTCCGAATGCTGACGACTGTCTCTGACACTCTCTCGATGGCAGAGGGGAAGAAGAGCGTGACTGTCAAGCGAACAGCACCATACAGAGCCATCGCCACAAACACGCGGCTGGCTGTGATCTCATTGCCAAGCAGCACGTAGGTAGTGAAGGTCACAAACAGGATGACTTTGTTTGCAATGAAGAATGACGCCATGTTCATCCCTCTGAGGTAGGAGCTGCCCAGGATCTTGGAAATTTCCTTCCTGGAAAAGAGAAAATATATACATATAGATAGATCTTCACATAGAGATGTCAACATCGATGTTGCACGCGTGAGGACCCTTGTTGGACAGTACACACATCAAGGTAAACTGCCCGTGGGGACAGGAGAGACGGCTCAGTCTGCAAAGGCTTCCAGGCAAGCAGGAGGGCCTGAGTCTGATCGCAGCAGCCCCACGAGGGGCCAGGTGTGATGAGAATACACTTCCCCATGCCTATAGGGCCAGGAGTCTTGGGCTTGCGGGAGTTTAGTCCATACTTCCCCACGAAGCTCTGTGGCAGACATTTCTGCCTAAGGTCTTGGGATCTAAGTGGTGGGGGTGCTGTTCTCTCCTGCAGCAGGCTCACGGAGACCACGGCTGTGCCTCACTCACTCCTCTGCCATCTGGAAGGGCGGGACCCAGGACTCCCATTTAGGAGTGCTAGCAGAATGCATTAGCTGGAGCTCGCTATAAAATGTACCCAGAGTGACCCAAATTGACTCTCCACCTCTAGCACTGGGGAGACAAAGACAGGCAGGTCCCTTGGGCAGCCTAGCTGAATCACTGGGCCCCACTTCCCAGTGTGGATGGCTCCTGAGGAACAGTACCTGAGGTAGACCTCTGGCCTCCTTACGCATGTATAACTATGTGCAATAAATAATTTTTAAATGAGCTGTGACGTTACAGCAACAGTTGCTAGCACATACCCTGGGGACAGCTTTGGTAAACCGCAAAGAACACTGAAAAACCACTTTCCCCATGCAACCAAACCCTGCTAGAGATGCAGGGTAACATGCATTCAGCCGGCATGCACCAGTGCTTGTCATGCAGGGTCACTGTGGGTGGATCCTAACAAGGACTCAGGCAAATGCATTCAGCCAGCATACATAAAGCTTCAGTCCTGGGCCAGGAACCTTCCAGGCGACCAAACGATGAATGAGACGCAGCCTCTCTCCTCCAGGAGCTCAGGAGAGGATCACACCTCTAGAACTGTGATATTTTCCCCAAAATTCTAGACAGAAACAGCTGGCACCAAGCTTCATGGGGCATGGGTAGCAAGTGGCATGCTTGGAGGAAGCTGGAGAAAGGACAGAAAAAGCCTCTACATGTGGAGGGCATTTCAGACACAGAAGTCATGTGACTGGAGTGAGTAACGCCCACCATCAGGTCAGGCTCAGCCCAGCGATGGCCAACCCATGTCTCCTCCCCACCACACAGTGACTGGTGAAGCGCTTTCCTCTAAATGTAGTCTCTCAGACTCTTCTATCTTGGAATCATTGCTTATAGGGAATCTGAAGCACTGAGAACTATATGAACTCCATCTTATTATCAGTGCAAAGTGCATCTGAAGGCCGGCTGTGCGGCTCAGTGGTGTAAAATGTGATGCTTGCCTAGAGCATGCCAATCCCTGGGCTCAATTCCCAACACCGTAAAACCAAAGTGAGAGTGAGAGAGACAGACAGACGTCAGATACACAGAGCGAATAGGGGCTGCATTTTTTGCCTAGGAATAACGGTACACGGGAGCCCAGTTTAAAACGATGCCCCGGGTCATCATACTTACCCTATTGCCACACTCATCTGAGGTGAGTTACCAGGGAGACAAAACGGGAACCCTAAATTCATTCAGTGAAGTTAGGAACTAGGAAAGCGCGCCGTGGTGCGGCCCACACGCCTTACTTTCTCAGATGGGTAATGAGGTCAGCAAATGACTTCTCCCAGGCGTACATCTTTATTATCCTCATGCCCGTTATGACTTCATTCATGGTCCTGATCCTGGCATCAGTGAAAGCCGCAGTTTTACTCCTGAGGGGGACAGATGTGACAGATGAGCACAGCGAGGGCAGCCAACCTTCGTGTATCAATCAGTCCCAGGTACACACAGGGGCCCGGAGTCTAGGGTGGTCCCTGCAGCTCCTGCGCCCCCTGCAGCACGGTGGGCCCCTCACACAGCATACATACAGAAGGCCGCCCGAGAAAGCAGCCAGTCTGCCAGCTCTGACGTCCTCAATGTTTGCTGAGGAAAACCCCCAGACAATTCCGACACAACCACCCAGGTGGGAGGGGAGAGGAGGCCAATGGAACACCGAAGTCTGACACAGCTGACAGGCGGCAGGAACGGGACGGCTGTGGAGCAGACACACTTGTTCGTCCAGTTGGGAAAAGAGTGAGCAAACGAGCTTCAGAGTTTTAGGAGCACCAGAACTGGGAGGACACCACACAGATTACAGACCCAGAAGAGAGGGGCCTGGTGCCATCCCAGCACGGCATCGCCCGCACCCCTTTCCAGAGGCGTCCATGGAGACATGCTCTGACTCTTGCTACCTGCTTCCGGTCACAGTCACGTTATCATCACCTTGAGCGTTTGTTAGCAGCCATTTTTCTGATACGCACACTGCCAGGAAGGTGAGACTTCTGGAAAGCTCTGTTAAGATGGACCCCACGCCTACCGCAAACACTGGAGCAAACACAGTGCACACATGTGCACATCTGAGAACAGCTCCAAAACATACAGTGTGGACGGAATCTAGGAAACATTTGGATCGGGACCATGAGATGGCTCGGCAGGTAAGACCCCGCCCTGCCAAGTATGATGATCTGAGTTCCACCCCTGGGACGCTCGCAGTGCGAGAAGAGAAAGGCTTCTTCAAGCTGTCCTCTGATCTGCACGTCCACACCGAGGCACACGCGTGCCCGCTCCATCACTTAATGTTTAACCTCTGTACATGGACCTCTCTATGTGGCTACGCTGAAACCACAGCTAGGGGAGCCTATGCCTTCCCTTTCCCCTCTGAAGACCAGCCCTTGACTCCTGGCTGGGGTACTCCCCCCCCACCCAGGTCACGCCTGAAGAGCCGGCAGCACATGTACACACAGACTATGAGGTGCCCTTATTTTGCTTCGGGGAAGAAGCCTCAGGCAGGTGGCTACTGTTCCCCAACAGGACACGGTTCCGGTCCAGCATCCCCCTTACCGTAGTGACGAGAACAGCTTTCCGATACAGCTCTGCAGAGGCAGAAGAATGACCAGAACGGCCATGCCCGCCAGACAGGAGATTCCTATTTCCAGCCAGAGAAGGATGGTCACCTCAATGGCCTGCAGCGGCCCCGCCCACAGGAAGTGCAAGAAGATTGTCACCTGTGGATACAAAGCCAATGCATACTTAAATAACGCATACTGTAAATAAAACAGGACCAGTATAAACGCATGCCGGAAACATTACTCTCCAAGCAAGAAGATGAGAATCCAAACAGAGTGGTTACAGCAGGCTTCAGTCTGCGGAGGCAGAATCACAGGCCCTCGCTGTAGACACTCCGCTTGCGCAGTGGACAGGTGACTGTGGGCCGTTATAGGCCCATCCCTGAGATGACCCAACTTCTTTTTTCCTCACGTGTTACAGCAGCACTCCCCAGAATGCCCTCTGCCCCATCACTGAACCCCATCTCCCCTGGGTCCCCCCACACCTCAGAAAAGCCTGTGCTATGGAGCCTAGAACATTCTGCAGCCATGGCTTATGTGTTAAACCTCTTAACAGAAAGAGCAACTTCTTCAGGAAGAAGGTTCTTGTTTATCCCCCAAGTCTAAGTGGGGCGTGAAGTTCATGCTGGATGAATGAAAATCTGAAAAGGGGATGCCTGCTGTGTAACAGAGAGCCGACTGGAAGCCAGAATGATCAATCTATGAGGTAAGTATTTAAACACAGCCGTGGGCAAGAGAGCTGTGACCCTGGCTAGGTATCACTACGTGATACGACTTGTCAGCGTGTCCCTATGTACCAGGGACCACATGGAGGGGGCTGTCCTAGACACTCCTACCTCCAGGCTTTGCCCTTCAGAAAAGGAGAAAGCCAATCAGCTGGCTGCTGCATGGCCGTGTGCTAAAGGTTAAGAGGGGGCAGCCCCCCCACTATTATCGCATTAATAAAGTTGGGGTGAATACCGCTCTCTGCGTACTTCCTGTAGACATGCACTGCAGGCAACATCAGAAAAACAACTAGACTCCACAGGACCAACACATCCTATGCTCTCTACAGACGTGGCATGTGGCTTCAAAGTACCCATGGTACAATTTCAACCCCAGTCTACACCAAAATCCTCTCATTCCAACAGGTTAAAGAGAAAGAAGGAGGTTTGGGCAGGCACTGACAGAGATGGAACGTACCTGGTCAAATTTGTTCACGTCGTTGGACAGCAGGTTGACTATCTGACCTGTGGTTGTCTTCCCCATGGCCGAGTTACTTAAGCGCATTGCCTGGAAAAAGATGAGCAGAGTGGGGAATCGGATCCTGTAATGACACTCTACCAAGCACAGAAAATAGAGACACATATTTCCATGGGGTCTGCCGGGACGGAGCCAAGATGACTCACGATGGCGGTCCTCGTGGCTGGCACGGACAGCGGTATCCTCCAGGGACCGCCACAGGCTGACGGAAGCAGGAGAAAAGCTCGTTTCTTTCAGTGACTGACCATACACCCAATGTATGTCAGCTTACACTTCACAGCCTACCGACGCAGTTTTGAACCAATTCAGTAGGGGGATTGTGAAAGGAGGGAAAAAAATGATATGATTTGGATTATAAATATTGAATCCACTACTAATTCTCTGTGGTAAAGTACACAAGGTCTTGGCCTCCTCCTTCTGTGTATGAAAATGGGCCCTCACTGGTCTCCAGAGTCTCACAAATGAAAGAGAAACAGCACCCCTTTACTGCATATCTACCAGGGAGAGGACCCAGAGGCCCAGGAAGACCCACGATTGATGAGACACAGATTTCATCTCCAGGAGATTTCATCTCCTCAGTAGTCCTGAGGGCTCGGGCAGCCGTGCAGCCGACAGACATGGAGGAAAGGGTTCCTTCTCCAGCATGGTGGGCAGGAGACCACACAGGGAAGGAACAGCTTCCGGGGACAAAGAACGGGTATATGAGAAGTACAGAGGAGAGGAACGTGGGGGCAGCTAAGTGGAGAAGACCGACGCTGGGCTTGGAAAGTAGGTGGGAAGGAGCTGAAGCCTGAAAGAAAGCAGTTTGCTTTGTTTTTAAGTTAGAGTGCCCCACATTCCCAGATGAAGAGACTGGGGTAGGAGTGCGGGCAACAGGCAGCTGCAAAGGAGAGAGCCAGTCACAGGCAAAACCACTAACACGCAGTAAATCCATGGGAACACACGTGACCAGTCATAAGATGGCCCAGCAAAGGGGCACCCGCCCGTAATTCCCCACACTTGGAAGACAGAGACAGGAGGACCACAGGAAGTTCAGGGTCAGCCTAGGCACAGACCAGCAAGGCAAGAAAGAGAAAAGGAATACCTGGTGGATGGCGCCGTGAGGACATGGAAAGCACAAACTGGCACTGGAGAGTCAGAAAAGACAAAAAGAGGACAGGAAGTTGGGAAAGGGTGGGAATGGATCTGGGAGGAGTCAGGAAAGAGTAGGGGTGAATATGATGGAGATACCTCATATACATGAATGAATTTCTCAAAAAAATGTAATGAAAATGTTAAAGTATATGGGAGGGCAGGTCCACAGGTCTGCACCCGGTGGGATCGCCGAGCTGAGAAACGTAGACACAGGCCCTGATCCCTACCTCGGAAGCTGTGTTCTCTGCAGGAGTCTCACTGGGAAAACAAGCCGCTCTGAACACGAGTCCGTGTGCGCAGCAGGATAGGGCGGCCAACAGCAAACCAACTAATGGCATCTTTGCAGGTTCCTTGTCTCAAAGTGTGGTCTTTTATTGTCTGCTTGCTTTTTTAATCCCTTTATTATTTATGTGTTTGTTTTTCTTGTCTTTTAAGCCCACAGGTATTTAGGCTTCTGGTATTGTGTTTTTATGGAATTTCTAAGTGTGTGAACCAATGGGTTTCTGTGTCTCTATTTCTTGTGCCTTTTCTTGGTTCTTTTGCTTCTGTTTGTTCTGTCCTATTCCGAAGCGTTTGTTTGGTCTTGTACTGTTTTATTGTTATCCCTTAGAAACCTGATTGTTTTCTAATGAGAGATGGAAAGGGGGTAAATATGAATGGTGGGAGAGGTGGGGAGGAGCTGGGAGGAAAGAGGGAAGGAGAGCCATAATTAGAGCATAGTATATGAGGAAAAAAAAATCTGTTTTCAAGAAAAGAAAATCTAATAAAACTTGGAATATATTGTACCATTTTCTGTTGAATACTCTTTCCTACCTTGATGCTAAAACAGCTTCAAGCCCCTTTCTTCCAGTTTCTGAAATAATACACACACACACAGGGTGACTTTGACCAATGACGCTATCTGAAAATATTTTTAGCACCTGTGTTTATATTCAAGCATGTGTCAATCCTGCATGCAGAAAATACACTGCATGTTTTTAACATTGGGTATCTGATACCTAAGTTTGATTGTTTGTTTGTTTGTTTATTTATTGATATTTTGAGGCAGTGTTTCATTACGTAGCCTTAGCTGTTCTGGAACTCACTATGTAGGCCAGGCTGGCCTTGAACTCACAAAGATCCACCTGCCTCTGCCTCCCAAATGCTGGGATGAAAGGCATGTGGCATCACAGCCAGCCTTGATACCCTAATTAAAATAGTTAAAGTAAGATGACAACCAGGTGTGCCCCAGAACCTCGGCATACAACTCGACTGACCACATGCGTCAGCAGTGAGCGCTGACAGTAAGGAGTCACCAGCGACACCCGTGATGATCTGTGAGAAAGACAAGGCCCTCTGGTGTGCAGAGTGACTGTCAGTAAGCACTTCTATAATGCAAGGAAGGAAAGCCCACGTGTGGAAATTCAGACACTCGGGCTGTGGCAGAAGTTACCAGAAGTTAACCAGAACTGTGAATCAGTCCCAAAAATTAGTATATTTTGCTTTGTTTGTTTAAAAAAAAAAAAAAATCTGTCATACTCCAGCTGGAGCAGGAAAAAAACAGTGGCCTGCCTTTAACGTGATCAGTCAGGAAGACAGGTCACAGACACAAGGCTCTGGCCTTCATCAAAGAGTGACTGACTTTTGCGGGTCTGCTGACCTTGCTAACCTTGCTGACCTCAGCTCGGACAGCACAGGACGCAGCTGGCCCCAGGCTCTGCCCACAGGCACTGCAGGGCTGTGAGCCCTGAGGGGAGGAAGCAGGCAGGAGCGGCTACAGACTCACCGCCTTTCTGCCCAAGCAAAAGTGCATTCCCCGGCTGAGGGAAGAGCGGTCCGCTCTGAACGAAAGAAGCGCCTGGAATTTGTGGGTCACAGCCGCAGAGGACAGGCTGGGGATTTTCGGTAGGGATTTACCAACGGCTCTTTGCCAAGGGCTCTTTGGCAGGCTGAGTGCCAGAGCAGGGGTCTGAGTTAAGCATGGCTAGGAGACGCCAGGGTTCCTCCTGACCGCACGGGTCATTCAATAAGGATGCCAGGAAGGCTGCATTAGAGATAATGATCTGTCTACAGCCTTGGCCAGGTCCTTGGCCAGGTCCAGAGTGGAAAGAGCTGCCCTACAGCTGAGATACCCAAGAGACAGACAAAACCATACTGGTAGGAAACCAACACCCTGCAATCCAGACTCCTGACAATATCACTCCCAACTCAACACGGCAGAGAGATTATTACACAGGCAAAGGAAAAAAGAAACACCAGTGACCCATCATCCCAGAAGGCTGTCAGTACACAGATGCACACAGCCAGCTCACAGGAGCACAGAAATACCAAACAGCTGCTGGCACATGCATACGGAGTAGAAACATGATTACGACAAGTGGATAGATGGGTGATTTTACAAGAGAAATGGACCCCATCAGAAAGAACAAAACAGTCTTCTAGACCTGAAAATATACACCTGAATTTTTTTAAGTTACCAATTAACATTAGTTTCAGTTGGCCTATTTCCAGAATAACTAATATATGTAACAGATGTGTGTGTGTGTGTGTGTGTGTGTGTGTGTGTGTGTGTGTGTGTGT